TTCAGGCTCGCAATTTTCAAGAAGAAGTCGAAAAAGTAAAACATTGACCCGGACGACGGACAATTACTCATAAAAGAATTTGAAATTTTGACATGAAATGAACAAATCTGAGAAAGAACCATCCAAGGTTTCGAAGAAGAAGTTGAAATTGTAAAATACTTAGTTTATTCAGACTTGTTACAAATGCAAATATATTATTTCAAGACATAAAAATCAGTAATGTTTATCTTTTTTTCTAAACTTCTCACAGTTCATTTTGGGACAAGCTTGGATCACAGACAATTATGTTCTAGCACATTAACAGCAGTTGATTTCTCAAAATTGTGCTTATATCTCAAATTGTCCATTTATTATGAAATTTGTTAAACAGATTACTTGGTTGTAGTTCATCAATTAATGAAAGTTACATGTAGTTAATTTGTGTCACATTTCAATCCATCACGGTTGACTGATTTTATGGCAGACATTTCGCTTAATGAAAATTTTCTATTTTCATTTTTTTTTGTGTGCTTATATCTCAATATTCAATCAGGTCCAAACCTGATTCACAGACAATTGTGCTGAAGCATATCAATGAAAGTTTTACATTTTGCCATTGGTGTACAAATGTGTATGGTTTCGAGCAGCCATATGCTATAGAATTAAGATTTATACAAAGCTAGGTAATGTATGACACGAAGGAGAAATTAGATTGTTAATTTAAATTTAGTATTTAGTACTTACAGTAGTCACTGATGTATCAACTTGTTCAAATGATTATAGAGACATTAAGATGCATGTGCAAGAATGAAACGGGAACGGATACGTCATTACTTTGTGCATGAACTCAGCACAAACCAATGATGTCATCGGTTGCCATGTTGTATGGCAGTCGTTTTGAACATGATCAGGGCGAGTGACTGGTAGTTGATTTTCAAAAACTTTTCTATCTGACAATTTTGATTATTTTTTACTGACAATGATAGAATGTATTATAATATTAGAATGATTTTGTACATTTATGGTGAAATAAGAAATATTGGATGCATTTTAGCTGATATTTACAGCTACAGAAATTGTACACAACTGGTCAGCTTGTTAAGTAAACAAAGCAGACTACACATTTATGTTCACTTTGTCGAAAGGTGATGTATAATAATCAGTTTAAACTAAATGTATTGTTCTTAAACATTTCAGAATGGCCATTCCTGCGAAGAGACATGTATTTAGATGGATAGTAAGAAAAAGGTTTCGGTAAACAAGCCTGAGACTTCAGCAGAGTGGATGGAAATAGCGAGAACTCTGTCAGATGAGCGGGAACTAACTACCAATTTAGATTCCGGATGTTAAATGACAACAAATTGTGTTGGATTATTATTATATTACATAGTTCTGTTTAAGTTACGTTCCTGTTATGGGAGCTTGTACTTAATCGTTTTCTGACACCCGAGAACGTAACGCAAACAAAATTAGAAGAACACGTTGCGTTCCCGCTACATATGCAAATCTTAAAATCTATATTAACAAACTCGATTGTTAGTAACTTTTCATTCCCATACAATCATTTTTAGTTTATGTTTAGTCCACTGATCATAAATGGCTACATTGTGGTTTACAGGATGGAAATTAATTCAACAATAAATACTTACAATGTACATTAAGGATCACTGCATTTGACTGTTCACTTTGTCTCACTTGACTGTTCTCAGCTTTACAATATAGCTCATTATTATGATGATGATATGTTAATGTAATTGTCATCTCTTGTATTGATTTCCTTCCACTGTATACACTATCCACATACACAAGCTGATTAGGAACAGTGATCATTTGGTTATCATGGTACCATATCAGGCTAGCATCCGGGTTACTGCTACATGACGTGCATGTGAGGAGCAAAGTGTCACCAACAATGACGTGTCCAGTATTGTCAGGGTAACCAGATAGTAAAGTACTGCATCCATCCGGGTAGACTGGAGAAACTGATTAAAAATTAATTGAAAGATTAATAACAGCGAATGTTATTTGGCATATAATTCTACATCTGAAGTTGAATGCAATGGTAGTGGCAAAAAAACAATGGAACTAATAAAAGTACCTATTCAACATCACCAGTTATGAATGTTTTACACTTATACTGGGCTTGGTTTTAACTGTTTACCGGTATGTGTGATTATACAAGGATATTGCAATATATGAGCAAAGACAATACAGCTGGAATAATGACTGACGTGTAGCAGAAATCGGTATGACCAAGTTCTGTCTGAGAAGATATTTTGCGATATGCTAGTGACAACCTTATTACTGTACATCTTCCTGAGCTAACCACTTCGTATTTTTGGCCCAGAGCCTTGAAAAATAATGGAAATTATAAAAATCTCGCTACGAATTTCAAATTCAAAAGCATCCTCCATCTTAGAAATATTGTCGGTGACAAGAGTGTGCAGCATGTACAAGGTACATGTAGAGTCATACATATGACATAGTGTGCGACATACATATGGCAGAGAATGCGGCATATATATACGACAGAGAACAAAGCATATATACGGTGCGTGGCATGATGAGAGCCCTGTGCGATAGGGCCTAAATTTCTGTAAGGGGTGCTTGCAAAAATTATGCTGAATCTCCTTCACCTGGTAAACTAAAATCACAATTATATCTTTTAATATGTGTATTCATACTGGATAGAGCCACAGTTTGAAGTGGTCATATCATAGCCCAAAAGTTACAGTCGTTTACACAAAACCTTGAACGTTAACTTTGTATAAAATGATAACACACTACTAAAATTGTTTTGTAACATTGCTAGTAAATGTTTACAATTTGCTCCAGATATTATCAAAGTTGCGGTAAAATCAAAGAGTTGTTTATATTATAAACCAGACGTGAGTTAATGACGTGCTGTCAAAAAATATTACAATAACCTATCAACGCAAAGATCACGATTTTACCCGGGATAGACCTACTCTCAAATTCAAATTTGCTGAGGAATAACAACTTGAACATGTTGCGAAGGGGGACTGCCCAATGTTCCCACATCTCTATGTTCCGACACCCCTATGCTCAGACATACAGTATACTTATATCAAAATTAATCTGACTAGCTCTCACAAGTAATTATAATGCACATGTACCCTGCGTGACTTTTGACTGCTAGGACCTGTAACCAGGATGTCGTCTTGTGGGTTAATACTTGGAATCCAACTATAGTGAACCGAAGTCCGGCCATGATGCTCAAATATCCATGAAGGCGGGATCTTGCATATTTTTATCGAATAATTATCTGAGAATTATCAATTAAAGTTGCCCATTGTATCAGTCTAATGCTTCGACAATTATTTGACAATATCCATGTGTTTTGGGAGTGTTTCCAACCTTACATCCTCAGATAGCCTAACTATCAAAGTTTTAGATCAATATTAGATATCGGAGATTCTTTGTATAAGGTTGATCCCATAAAATTCACTTCTTATTTGACACTGTGTTAAATTTTTTAAAGCTTAACACAGCTTACCCTGATTTTTGGGGGCAAATTATACCCTTTATATCCCAAAAACGGCTCATAATTGACAAAATTAAGTCCCATGTTTCTGTTTATTTTATGGCATGTAAATTTGACAGCTTTGTTTTACATTTTAATTGTACAACCAGTATTCTGTAACTAGACTGATCGCGTTGAACAGAGAAAATATGGGACATTTTTGCCGACTCAGGATTTATTGGATGATCGTCGACCATAAAAGTACTGAACAATGTAATTTAGGTCTATCCAAGTACAAGCTGTCAGAGAGGCCCACATGAAGACTGTCAGGTACATAGTGTATTGTTGATCTGAAAGTTTGGCAATAATTAAAAAAATAAATATTTTGCGACTTGATAGGATACTGCGCATCTGAGAATATTGTTTGAAATTGTAAATCTGAATGTACAATTGCCGACCATGATCACAAAACATCTCCTTGAAAGCCCACAGACAGAGGAGTGGCAAGTATTATAATCCGGCATACTTATTTTTTGTTTAAATGTAAAGAAATGTAACATTGTGTTACAAAAAGTAGGATAATATTTAAAGAAGAACAAGTCATTGAAAATGACACAGTCCCCGTTAAATTTTT